ATGTCTTTGTCAGCTATGCTGCTGAAGAGGGAAGTTTCTGACAATTAGTGAAATTTATTTGAAGAGGGATGTTTCTGATAATTAAATGAAATTTTAATTGAAACAAAAATCTTGTTCTCCCATTTCCAGTTTATTTTATTTCCTATTTAATTAATTATTTATAACGTTTTAATGCTTAATAGTTTAATATGTATTTTATCCTATGTGTTCCTCAAACATTTATAAGTTCTTTTACCTTATAAAATAAACTTCGCTAATGTACAAAAAAAAAAAACTCATCATGACTCCACATCCTCGGTATGCGATGCAATCGAAATGATGTAAGAAATGGTTCCAAATCAGAAGAGGGGAGGAAACCTGTCTAATTGGTTTTTATGATCTAAAACATTTGGGGGAAAAAACGATACTTATTACAATATAACAAATAAATTGACTTTTGAGTTTAGAATTGAGGAGAGTTATCCATATGCATCTGAATTTATTCTCATTAATATTTAAATAAAATAAGATTAGCAAACTTATTTCTTTACTCAAATATTAAAATGTTTTTCTTTTCGATTTGGCAGAGAATAAAAATTTGCTTAAATTATTAAAATTTGCAATGAAAGTGTATATTTTAAAGAGTCTAGAGCACTAAGGAAAGTCTTTTAAAAAGTGCAATCGGAAATGGAAATTGTTTTTAAACATGTGTACTGAAAAACAAAAAGAAATGTTAATTTTTGTCACCAAAATGAAAAAAGTGGAATTTTGAATGTTGATAGAAATTTATTAGAAATTTTGCCCTTGTTGTTTTTGCTATGCGTGAAAATGTTTTAAATTTTTTTCTCGTTTGTAGTCTACTGAACAAACTTGATATTTTAAATATATATAAATTTTTTATTTTCATTTTTTCTGCATTTTAGTTTTGAGTCTCGTGGCTTGTTCAGGCCGAAAATAATCAAAATTTTGATTGGCGATAAGTTGCGCTAATAGTGGTCAGAAAGTATTTGAAAATTGTGTTTTCATCCTGTACAGAAAATCAGTTAAAAATTTGAGCAATTAAACTAGTCAGAAATTGATCAAATTTTAATTTCAAGATTTTTCTTGTCTTTTTTGTGGAGTAAGAGTTATTTATTCCTGCGTCCACTATTCCAGGTTTGATTTTTTGTTCATTTTCTTTTAAACAAAATGTGTCTAATTTAAATTGTGCAAGTAAAATATGAATTAATTCATCATTTATTTACCACTATTATTATTCTTATTAAATTATACTATTAGTATTTAATTATAATAATAATAGTACAATTCAATAATAGCATAATTTAATAGTATTAGATTAGAATTCAATTATTAATGCTATTATTAAATTCACTATTCATAGAAAAAACATATTTTGTGAAGAGCAAACACTAACACTTTTGCAACTTTACGCTTGTGTTTCTAAACATGTTTGGGAAGGTGAGTAGCACTTTACATTTTGTAAGAGTCTACAACCGCCTCGGTAAATACCTAAACATCATGTTTGCGTTCCTAAAGTTCTTCGAACACTCGAATAGTGGTAACTAAGACTTAAGTTCGATTGTTCGAATAAGCATATTTCTGTCCTAATGTTAAAGATGCTGAATAAAAAGTTTAAAATTGCAATTTAAGTGAACATTTAGAAATTACTTTTCCACTATAAAAATACCTAGAATTTTTTTTAACTTACCAGATATAATTATTAGGTCTATGATTATTTTCATTTCGGTGAGAATTCAACTGAAGTCTATGTTTTTATTAAAATGTATGTAAAAATGTTGAAAATTTTTACAGCAATAAATTTAGCTTTTTCCCTCCTTGAAATAGTGCCTAAATTTTCATTGTAATATTATTTTATTACTTTTTATTCTAAGAATCTTTTATTAATTTGATTTCATATTGAAAATAATTTGATTGCTGACGTCACATTATATTAACTGTTAATAACCATAAAGAATTTTACTTTAGTATAAAAATTAAATGATAACATTTTTCTAATTAATAATAAAAATATTTAGATTAAGTCTCTAAAATAGTTTCAGAATTACGCATGACATTATCAACGAAATGACCCTGTCGACGAAATGACTTGTCGACGAAATGACACTATCGATGAAATGACCCTGTCGACGAAGCGACTACGTCGAGGAAACGGTCTGTTGACGAGACGACCCTGTCGACGAAATGACCCTGTCGATGAAATGACCCTGTCAATGAAATGACTCCGTCGAGGAAATGGCCTGTTGACGAAAGGACCCTGTCGAAGAAATGACCATGTCGATGAAATGACCCTATCGAGGAAACGGTCTGTTGACGAAAGGACCCTGTCGACGAAATGACCCTGTCGATGAAATGACCCTGTCGACGAAATGACTCCGTCGAGGAAATGGCCTGTTGACGAAAGGACNGAAATGACTTGTCGACGAAATGACTTCGTCGAGGAAACGGCCTGTTGACGAAATGACCCTGTCGACGAAATGACTTGTCGACGAAATGACCCTGTCGATGAAATGACCCTGTCGATGAAATGACACTGTCGATGAAGCGACTACGTCGAGGAAACGGCCTGTTGACGAAACGACCCTGTTGACGAAACGACCCTGTCGACGAAATGACCCTGTCGACGAAATGACTTATCGACGAAATGACTCCGTCGAGGAAACCACCTGTTGACGAAAGGACCCTGTCGAAGAAATGACCATGTCGATGAAATGACTTATCGACGAAATGACCCTGTCGATGAAATTAACCTGTCGAGGAAATGGCCTGTTGACGAAACAACCTTGTCGAGGAAACTGCCTGTCAACGAAATGACCTAGTCAATGAAATGGCCTTGTCAATGAAATGGCCTTGTCAATGAAATGGCCTGTCGATGAAGTGATTGTTGATGAAATGAACAGGACAATCATTTCTTTTATATTATAAATCAACAAAGCAGATGTTTTTTTCTTTAATACCCAAATCGAAAAAATCCAAATTAATGTTATCATCAAGATTATGAAGCAAGATTAATTCCTCGGGGTAAATATTATTTTTAAAAAATAGTATAATCTTAAAAATTAAAGATAATTAAATCATCAATACATCTAAAAACACATTTAATATTAAGAGTATAATTTTTTTCATAATAGAGCAAAAATAAGTTTGCTAAGAAAGATGAAAAATTATATCCTTGTGGTATTCCATCAATTTAAGTAAAAATATTTTTTCTGCTTTAAGTATAATTATAAAAAAGACAAAAATTGATCAGAATTTCCCAATCCTCAAGATCGCAATGAAGGATATTTTTAAAATCACAGTAATAACTCAAAGGAACATCTTTTAGTTTAGAAAGGGGAATGCTATTGAAGAGATCCTGGAATTCAAAAGCTGCAATGGAATTAATTTTTATTTTGTTTAATAAATTCTAAAATCGGTTGATTATTAGTGATAATTTAAGAAAAACCTTCTTTAATATTGTTAATAATTTCATTTAAGTAGTTAGAAAAAATGATGCCAGGTTTAGTTAAGTAAGTGTTAGACTCATATGAGATTGTTCTAAATTTTATCGGACTTTTATGAAATTTTGGACTGATAATTAAGTAATTATATTGTATGTTAATAATTTTGGTTTTTAACCTCATATATAAAGCTAAAATTTTTTTTAACGATAATATATATTTTTTTAAATTACTAAGCTTAAAATTATTGCTATTTTTTAACTCTTTATTCAAAAGTTCAACATAAAATTTTTTACAGAAAATTGCATAATTATTGTAAGCTTTGTCTAGGGGGGTAATTAATTTTTTTTTTTTGTAATTGTATAATTGATCGAAGCATTTTAAAAAAATGTGTTGAATTTTTCCTGTTCTTTAAATTTTCCTTATTATTTAAAACAAAGTTTTTAAAGTAATAATAAACATCCCATTCCATTCTGTCAGCATACTTGACGGTAAAGAGAATCTATTTGATATCTTTAAACAAAAACTATTGAGATCATTAAGAAAGTATTTAAGAATTTTATTAATTGATATATGGTAAAGGTTTTTTCCTTTTATCATTATATTCCTAATTTCTAAGTTTTCTATAATATCTAAACTACCAGTAATAATATGTTTGTGATGTTTATCAAACAAATTCAAATATTTCTTTTTTTCACAATCATTCATAATCAATATATCAATTCCTTCTAAATTTTTGCTAACATCATTATATTTAAAATTAGTTCTACCAAGAGATTTATTAAATTTAGAGCTTTTAATTATGTTAAAATCTTTTAATGGAAACATATTTTTTAAATTTAAAAATGTTGTGAAATTTAATCTTATCGAAAATAAAGTTTTGAAACTCAATGTCGAAAAATAAATTACTTAAATTTTTCTCATTTTAGATTTCACAAGGTTTAATTAATCGTTTAACTTATCGTTAATTAACATTCTAAATTACGTAGAGAAATTACCACAACTTTAATTCGCCTTTTTGCTGATAAATGTTACTGACGTCATAGGTCACGTGTGTGGGCGGGGACCAATCAAGACAAATTCAGGCCCACTACATTTTCTGGATCCCTTAGAAAATATTTTGAAATTAAATTATTGAAGTCCTAATAATGAAAATGAATCTATTGATTCAATAGAAACATTGTAAGAAAACAGTCAGTTGAAGATTATTTTTCTAAAATAAAATTTACCTAACTATAAATTAAAGCAAAATATAAACAAAACAATGTTATGCCAAAATAGCTTGGTGACCACAGACAATTGAAATCAGTGATTTTTGCCAAAAGTCACTGATTAGCTGAATTATTTTTTATTGTAAGCTGTCATTATTTTTTTATTTAGTATTTAAACAAACATAAAGCTATCCTACCTTACATTAGACCTTCTGCTAATTTTTGAGGCCCTTCAGAAATTGTGGTCCCTAAGCCCATGCCTATCGAACCTAGGCAATGATAAGGCCCTGTGTGTGGGTATGAGAGGTCTTCTTCTTCTTGAAGTGCAAGTACCCAATTCATAAAGGCCAAAATTGGTTGTAAGTGCTAATTTTTCAGTATCATCTAATTACCACATTTTAAATCAATAGCTGAAAAATGTTTGGCATTAGGAAATTTATAAATTAAATCACCAATTCTAGGTACAGATTAAAACTCAGTTTTGATAATATCGTAAGCTTCCTGAAATTCACACGTAATTTGATTTTATTACATTCATATTCTTTTGAGCAAGAGTTCGTTCACCAGGACCTTCATCACGAGGTTCACTATTTTTGGGAGGAGGATGTGAATTACACATGGTTGCTATTTGGCTGTCGTAAGACAAAAATATTTATTTCGAAATTTTTTAACTTTAAATAAATTAAAGATTTGCTGACTTTTCCCTCTTTTGAGTGAATAGTTAGTTCTCTTTAAGACATTTTAATGGGAAAGCAGCCGTATTTAAAATATATCTAATTAGCTAGAGAGTAACGAAAGGTATAATAGCAGATATTACGATAAGTAAGTCACTGAAAAAGAAATCACTGATTGCGTTTGGCGCGCATTAAAGGTTGTCTCAACTTCAAGCGCGGAGATGCTTCTCCTCTTCATCCCGCGCTTCTGAACCCAGCGTGGGCAAGGGACAACTCCTGGTAAACGAACTATAACTTGTGATGAGTACGGACTAAAAGAAGGTTTAATTATCAATTTATAATACAAAATTAACTTCATATTTGTTGTAATTCCAACTTCTAATTTGTGTTTTCTGTGAAGATTCGTCCCTGAATCAACTGTTTGGTTCAACTTCATATTTGTTGTAATTCAATACGAAATTAACTTCATATTTGTTGTAATTCAAACTTCTAATTTTTGTTTTCTGTGAAGATTCGTCCCTGAATCAACTGTTGGGTTCAACTTCATATTTGTTGTAATTCAATACAAAATTGACTTCATATTTGTTGTAATTCAAACTTCTAATTTGTATTTTCTGTGAAGGTACGTTCCTGAATCACCTATTTGGTTGTTAACCAGAGAGAGATACGACGAGGCACTGCATATAATGAAGCAAATTGGAAAAAGAAATAAAAAAGAAGTCGACGAAATCTTACTCACTAAGATGCTAAAAGTAAGACAGACACAAAGAGTTTTTGTTTTTCAATACTTGTACTAAATTATATTTAATTATTATATATTTAATTATATTTAATGTATTATTATATTTAATTATTACATATTTAATTATATTTAATGTATTATTATATTTAATTATAATGCATTTAATTGTATTTAATGTATTATTTTATTTGATTATTATATATTTAATTATTAATAGTCTCTGGGTGAGAAGATAAAGAAGAAAAAGGATGAGGAACAGAAAAATTCTTGCTCATCCATTTTACAGTTTCCAGCTCTAAGAAAAATATTTTTCATTCTAACTTTCTGCTGGTATGTTTGTTTCGATTTATTTAATTTTAATAACTGGGTAGGAAAAAAAAACAATATCTGTGCTAGCCGCGATGGCTCAGGGGATAGAGCGTTCGCCTTCCAATGAGGCGAACCGGGTTTGAATCCCAGTCGATACGAATTACGCATCCGGCTTGCACAGACCACAGTACTGACGTGAAATATCCTCAGTGGATCATGGGTTATTGTTCCCCTTGCCGTCAGATCTAACCGTGGGAGGTTCTCGTGGTTTTCCTCTCCATGTACCGCAAATGCGGATCAGTTCCATCAAAAAGTCCTCCACGAAGGCAAATTTCTCCCAATACTAGATCCAGGAGTTCCCTTGTCTTCTGGATTGGATTCAAAACTGCAAGGCTACGGAGTTGAGCATTAATAGTCATAAACCCAAATAATTGGGTCGGCTGTTCTACGACGGTTATAATATAAAATATCCGTGCCTCCTGAGTTTGGACATGACAGCCTACAAATCCTCTGCCACATATATAGTCAAAATAAGGCTGATGGACTGACTTTCTTGGTGAGCGGCCTCTGGGGCTTAGCCCTGCAGTCTCCCCCAGCTGACCATTTTCTAAATGTATTCATTTATGTGTAAACACCCAAGTCAAGACATTTTGATGGTTTCTGTTGGTTTCTGTGCGACTCACGATGGTCCGACATCATTTGATGGTCACCGTCGTCCAACATTTTCCATGGTTGACATCACACACAACATCACACACATCATCACACACATGGTTGACATCACATATGACAACACACACATCCATCATTCCATGATGGAAAATGCTACCTTAATACTATGGTGGTTAATCATCAAGAGAAGTTTGACTCACATGGACCAGCAATCCCTGATGATCCGTGATAGTCCATGATGGTTCCAACTATACATTTTCATGATTGGTTTAATTCTTGTTGGTTCAGCAGAAATAAACCATCAAAACAATTTGGTTTTTTTATTTTTATGTTGGATCATCATAAATCTGTCCGAATTCCTACATTGAGATGATGGTTGTTCATGATCGTTACAAAATTTGATTTCTAAGAAACTATGATGGAAATTCCTGATAGTTCAACATGAACAAACCATCCAAACAAGGTATTATTCTTATGTTGGACCATCATAAATCAGTCTGAATTCTTACATTGAAAGGGTTACTTATGGAATTATTGATGATTACCATCAAGGTTATGTTGGTCCATTAATGGAAAATCATCAAAAATTTTGACTTGGGCGAAAATTAATAATTTTTACTTTTGGGCTGAATATGATTCCGTATTTCTGAAATAAATTTTTTTAATATTATTTATCAAATTGAATTTTTCATTAAAGCAGTTCTTGCAACACACTGGAATGCCAATCAACATTCAATTTCTTAAATAAATGGTAAATATATCAACTACATCAATCAACTTCAACAACGGAATTTTTACTTAATCATCAAGCATCCTCAACATATAGTATTTTCTCGCTACTAACTACTAATCCGCATTTGCGTGAAAACCACGAAAACCTTCACTAAACCTGGACTCTAACTCATGATCCGTCAACCACTGAAGATATTTTACTTTAACACTGAGGTCGGTGCGAGCCGGGTGCGGAATTCATATCGATCAGCCATTGCTGAGATTCGAACCCAGTTCACCTCATTGGAAGGCAAAAGCTTTATCCCCTGAGCCATCGTGGCTCAGTTGGATATATATTTTACGTATAACCATCATTGAACAGCAGACTCAATTTTTGGGTTTTCGTCTACCAATGTTCACTTCCGTATCCTTATAATTTTGAACCTAATCCAGGAGACAAGGGAACTCCTGAATTAAGTATTGATAGAACTTTTAAGATGGAACTAACCCACATATGCATTACATGGGGAAGAAAACTACGGACACCTCTCATGGTTAGCCTGGCAGCAAGGGGACTCTAACTCATGATCTGTTTACCACTGAACATATTTTACGTGGTTAGTGCAAGCCGGGTGTGTAATTTAAATCGTTCAGGGATTCGAACCCGGGTCACCTGATTGGAAGCTGAACGCTCTATGCCCTGAGCCACCACGGATCAGTTGGGTATATCGCAATTCTTGTCATTAGGATAATTTGCAATTTAATCTGACAATTATTATTTTTCGCAGGATTGCCGATTTCACGTCTTACATGGGACTGCAGTACAACGTCATCAATTTGGAAGGCAACATTTTCCTCAACTTTTTCATGTTGTCTGTGGTAGAAGCCCCGGGTAACATCATATTCTGGATCTTGATGGAACGAATCGGAAGGAGATGGTCCGCTGCGATTGGTTACTTCGCCACTGGAGTTGTCATACTAATGCACACTACAGGTATCACAAATCGTTTTAGAGTAAGTAGGTATTTTAGTTACGTTGCACAATGGGCTAATGGCGACGGCCTGGAAAACATCCATGGGGATGATCTGATATTGTAATTTTGATCCTCTGACTTTGGTAGCCCAACGACCTGCGAGCGAAGTAAGAAAAGTTTGACCCGTACCCTCGGCCCTTTCGTAGGCTGACCAAAGTGATCACCCACCCGCTTACTGACCGCAGTCAGTGAGGCTTGACTTCGGTGTTCTACTGGGAACTGCGTCTTTAGAATCAGTTTATTGCGGGAGTCGTTTAAGTGTAAAGAAACACTGTTTTTGAATAATAAATTCCTTTTTTTTGTATCCTAAATAAAAAAATATAATAGGATAGGATGTTAAATTTATCCAAAACTCAGGATCTACAAGATTGGAATAAAAAATATAACTGTCCAAGCTGTCTCACAAAACACTGCCGAAAACCCGATATTCAGTTTTCACAACTGGTCCCATTTCTTTCAGTCACGCGTCCCGCAGTAGACGGATAGTAAAGACGTGGTTTCCAGTAGAACACGCATCACTAGCTGCGGCCAGTAACCGGGTGGGTGACTATTTTGAGCAGCCTAAATGGGGACCCGAGGGTGCTCGGTATTGGTTCTCGTTGAACTGTTCTATCGCGAAAGTGCTCGATTCCGAGCTAGCAGATCGTTGGGCTACCAAAGCGGGGGAGCCATCCCCTTTTCAGAGGGTCAAAATAGGGATCCTCCGATCATCCTCAGGGATGTTTCCCAGACTGCTTCCCATAGCCCATTGTGTAGCTATAGTGCGACGTAAATAAAATACCTACCTATCTTTCTTTCTTACTTTTTTTTTTCAAAAAAGAGAGCTTATATTTCTATACCCTGTAAGAATAAATAAATAAATAAAATTAAAATAAAAAGATAAGAAAAGAAACAAGTGTTTTGTTACGTTATTTTAAGTTTACGGATTTCACCATTTAAATTTATATATATATATATATAAAATGTCTGTAAGATATGGGGTGAATCGTGCTCTGCTTGATGCCTGCTCTCTGAAAATATGCCTGCTCCACAATTCTATGTAGAGCAGGCAGATAGTGGTTGTAAAGTGGCTGCAAAACACGGGGTGAATCAGACAACTCTATATAAGGCCAATATTCGAAAATAATTACCCTTTTAACCCTTATTTGTCAATATTGATCGAATGAGGGTCCAAGTCATATGGCTTCTAGGAAGCATTCTATGTTCAAAATTGCATACAATAATCCAATTGTCTCAATATATGTGATTACAGGCCTGCCGTACAGTGAAATAGTGACTTGCGTGATTGGGAAGCTTATCATATCGGGTACGTTCATGGTGACAGATCAGCAGGCATGTGAGCTCTATCCGACGACCTCCAGATCTTTCTTCATGGGAATCAGCAAATTCTTCAGCAAGGCAGCCACAATGTTCGTTCCCTATCTCATCTATTTGGTAAGCATTACATAAAAGCATCAGTGATTGTTCTATAATACAGATCCCGCTGTGGATTGATCGTTAAGACACGCTTCCCAGTATATCATGGAAGTCCAGCATCACTGGCTGCGATTCATGTGAGGATGGGTGACCACATGGGTCAGTCTGCATAGGGACTGAGGGTGTGCGGTATGGGTCCTAGCTAAACTGTTCTACCGTAAAGTGTTCGACTTCGCGGGCAGGTCGTCGAGCTACCAAAACAGGGAAGCTATCCCCTCTACATATCTTCGGATCATCCTCAGGGATGTTTTCCAGACCGTCATCATTTGCAGCTCTAGCGTGAAATAACTAGCGTGACTATAACTGTTCTAATACAGGGTAATTCAAAATGAATGAAACGATTACAAACAGCTATAACAATTTAATGAAGAATAATCTATCGTTAAGATTAACATAGAAAGTAGACTTTTTGCGTAAGGCGCAGGTGCAATGAAGCGGAATCCTACGCATGCGCTAGTTCATCAGTCGAATTGGAGAGTCCAGTTCAGAAAGCATTCTGCATGTTTGATTTTAACAATTGTCTTTATGTTATCACAGTGCGGAGAAGATTTCGTCAGCGTTAGAACCTCGAAATGGGAACAGCATATGCAGACATCCCAGGCCCCAAAACAATTGACGAATTCAAAGAGCGCATGCGTCGGTGACTACACAAATGCTTCAGAATGTGAATACCGCCTAGATGTTGCCCGCGTGACCAAGGGAAATCTCATGCGACGCATATATACAAAGTTTCGTCTACGATGTGACTAAATTTTATGTCAGTTCTTTTTCATTGAATAGTTATAGCTATATTCATTTTGAATTACCCTGTATTACAAAAGCACGGGAAAATAGGTTTGTGATTTGCTATATTTTTCGCTGATATTGTTAACCGCGTAAAGCTTTATTTCTTTTCTTCCAGACGTGGACACGTACCTAGGTTTGCAAAACCCTTAACCATATAGTCCACGTCTGGACGACAGTCTAGCTCGCACAAAACTCGGCACATAAGTAAACCATTACAAAATTCATAACTGCACAATATAGATGATACAGATGACAATAATTCGTATCACATTAGTTAAATTTATAAAAAAAAATTAAAAAAAATTGAAGCAAAGAGAACAATAAATGAAGCGAATTTTGTTACATACATAATAATTGAAAAAAAAAAGAAGTAAAAAGAAAACAAATAAAGAAAATGTAAACGAGGACGAAATGTATAATGAAGGACAAAATCAAAAACTGTTAAACACTATCAAGATTACATAAAAAGTCAGATTTAATTAAAATTTTAATAAGGGGTCGTTTTCTGCTAGAAAATTCATTACGTTAATTAATTTAGAGTTTAATGTTTTATTTGTAAGAAAGTTTTTTTTTTGCCAAATGTGTTAATTAATAATGTTTGAAAGTCGTGTATGCCATGATATTGTGTAAAGACAAGTTGATAAGTAATGCTCTGGTGTACCTGGTTGACCACAAGTACAAAGGTTTGTATCCGAGATATGAAGGTAATGGAAGAAAGAAGGAAAAGGGCCGTGACCTGTTAGGAACCAGATGACTGACTTGTTTAATTGGAATTGAATTAAAGTAGTTGACATTATTGATGATGTTAAACAGACGTCTTCCTCTATCGGAATTATTCCATAGGTTTTGCCAATTACCCACATTGCCATTGTTTTTTCCCCCCGCTTAAACTTTAAAAAGCGCTCCATCCAATATCAAATTAAGTACATAAGGTACAGCGCGCCAAAAAACGGGCCACCCAGAATAGCTTTTGATCTAATGGTCAGATCTTCATATTCTAGGTATCTTAATGGTTCGAAGGGACGATTTAAAATGTGCTAATTAATTAGTGCAGACGATATTTTAACTTAATGTACGTACATAATTTTAAAAAATTTCTCTTCATCCCCGATAGGGAGATGGATAATCCAATCTAATAATAAAATGCATCTTTTAAAAATAGTGTATAAAATAGTGTATTAAAAATAATAATTTGTTTTTCATACTTTTTGTAGATTTAAAACGGATCGATTTATGTTTTGATCAATAGCTCTTGTTCTGGGCATAATTCGGGTCTTGACAAAGCTACCCTTTAAGTACTTACCATGGCTACGACAGCCTGTTTATAGATAGTTTTCTAATGGTTTCCCAATTTTCTCTCTTTATTACTAGATTTGGTAGCTTTTTTTTAAAAATTAAAAGTAGTATTCAATTAGAATATACTTAACTAGATTACTATATAATTGCCAACTATAAATCTATATTTGCTAAATAATTGCTATCTATAAATCCATATTTACTTCTTAACATTTATAACGATTCAATTCATAGTATTTGAAATGCTGATGAGAAAAATCATTAACAATTCTGAATTAAAGATAGTAAAGATAATTGACGTATTATGTTTCTCTTGAAAGAGATTTCCAAATTGTTTTGAATGTCATTCTTCTTTTTTCTAAAAAAAAAAATATATATATATTTATTTACCTATTTATTTATTTACCTATTTACAGTCCTGGCCAAGACTCACTTTAAGATTCTATGTAAAATCTGTATAGTATTATAATGTAATACTATACAGCTTTATTGCTCTTACACGACTGAAACCGGTTTGCACTTCTTTACGTTAGGGTATCAATTGGTTAACATTGTTATGCAATACGCTAAAAATAAATACAAATAGGAAGTATATAAAAAATCTCCTGAACAAAATCCCATTACATGTATGTTTAAATGTAAAAGTATTGCCTATAAACTAGTGCAAAATATGTCATTATTGAAACACAACAGTGCGTCTAATAATTGAGTCTAATTATTATAATATGCTAATATAATTCCGAATGTACTAAATGTTCTATATTTATATAATATGTCGTCTAATTTATCCTATAGTCGAATTTATATTATATATCGCCTAATGTGACCAATTGATACACGAACGTAAACAAGTGCAAACCGGTTTCAGTCGCGTAAAAACAATAAAGCTGTATAGTATTGCATGATAATTATAATTTTACATAAGAATCTTACAATGCGTCTAATAATACGGCCAGATACTATATTTATTTATCTACCTATTTATTTATTTACCTATTTGTTTGTTTCTATGGAACGATAAAGGGGATGTACGGTAAAGCAATACCATTTGTCGTTATGAGCCTCCTGTGTTTCCTGGCTGGAATATCTGCCGTTTTTCTGCCTGAATCATTGGATAAAAATCTGCCGCAAAATGCTTCTGACCTGGAAGACTTTCAGAAAGATCAAGAATTCTTCTCATTTAACAGGTATGTGATCAATTATAGAAGTGGTCATTCATTCAATAGAAAGAAATATGGGAAGAAGTTACGGTGAATGACCGAAATCAGGAGAATGTCGACGTTCATCGGTGAATGTCAAAAATCACATAATCGTTTTCATTTCATTACGATTACTGTTGTTCAGCCCCCCGTAGCCTTGTAATTTTGAAATAAACCAGGAGACAAGGAAAATCCTGGACCAGTATCCCCAGAGGAATGATTTGTCATGGGGACATGGTGGACTTTGTGACTCGACAGATTTAATGTGCACCAGTCACCATTTACAACCGGTCACCATTTACATCACCGGGAGACTTCCGCCGGTGGGGATCGAATCCACGAACTCTTGGACATGGACCCAGTGACCTACTAGCAACTCGGTCCTTTACGTAATCGTTTTGGTGAATGTCCGAAATATTTGTTAGATCCAATTTCAGATAAAACTATTGGTTGATAAAATTATATTTTTTAGATTTTTTAATAACTGCAGACGATAGATAAGGAGAAACATCAGTGTTCGGAGTACCGGTTAAATGCATACTGGGCAGTGGTACTTGACCTTAAAAAACATTGATGTAGGGCATACCGGGCAGTGATATTTGGGACATTTACCAGAGCGATTATGTGACATTCACCGGTGGAATTTAACAACCACCAATTTTGGTCAATCGCTGTAACATATGTATCTACATTGAACGTAGTGATGAAAATAATAATTCTAAATTTAATTTATTACATCAATAATGAAATGTTTCATCATACAACTTGCTACCACTTTAAATATTAATATTAAAATGTTCCCATTAATCGTAAAAAGTATGGTTTTTCGGTTTACTTGGTAATCCGCTTCAATCTCTCGCTGTATACTTCATTTTATTTTAAAGCTGGCGCTGAACAGCTGACTTTATTTTGTGACTTTCAAGGTTCCACTCTGAACAGCCTTGTTATTTTAAATCCAACCCAAAAAACAGGGGAACTCCAGAATCAAGCGTTGGAAAAAACGAGTAATCGGACTTTTTGATGGAACTTACCGGCATTTGTTTTTTCCTAAACGATTGGCAAAACGGCAAGGTTGGATTTTAACCCATGATCCGTCTACCAATAAGGATATTGTCAGCATTGAGGTTTTATATTTGATAACCGTTGTTGAACAGCCGAACAACTCTATACCTTTCTCATTTTGAACACAATCCAGAAGACAAGGGAACTCCTGTATCAAGTACTAAGAAATATTTGCCTTCTTGGAGGAATTTTTTGATGGAACTAAGCCGCATTTGCGTTACATGGCGAGGAAAATCACGAGAACCGAAATATTTCTTATTTAAAAATATTTTGATTTTTACTTTTTATTATTGATGAAGATTTTCATAATATTTATTATAAATTTTACTTTTTATTGTTGATAAATGTTTTTCAAAATGTTATTAATTTTAACTTTTTTTTTTTGATAAAGATTTTCAAAATATTTATTAATTTTTACTCTTTATTGTCAATGAAAGTTTTCAAAATATTTATTCATTTTTATCTTTTATTGTTGATGAAGATTTTCAAAATATTTATAAATTTTTTCATTTTTATTTTTGATGAAGATTTTTAAAATATTTATTAACATTAAAAACTGCTATAACGACATACCCCGTAAACTCCAAATTCCTTTTGACTATAAATGCATGAAATAGTAGCTCCATGAATATTTCGAGATTTTTTTTGTGAAAAAAAAAAGCTTTTAGAAATTGTTTATCATTGCAGAAAGAAGCAAGATTCCTCAGATCAACCTACAGTACAAGCATGAGCATTTAAAAGTACTGGTACTGGTGAATAAAATTTTTACATGTATTTCCTATTTATTCAAATAAAATTAAACGTTATAAAACGCATCGATTTGTTACTCATGTTTTTTTTTTTTTTTTTTTTTTTTTTTTTTTTTTTTTTTTTTTTNAAATTAAAGACACTTCGTCACACTTTGTCACTAAAACCAGTTAAGTGCAAAATTTAATATCACTCTCTATTGCCGAAATTATCGATATTTAACAACATGTTACAATTTATTTTCTACGGGAGAATTTTTTAATAAAAAGTAACTAAAATAAAATTTTTCTTTGTTTGACTATGTAGGAATAGACTTTAAATTTTTTTTTATTGCTTGTTTTCTTTTTTTACTATCGCACACTGATGTTTTTTTACAAACAGAATTTTTTTTTTAACAATAAGTGACACAACAAGCAGATCAGCGAACGATGATCAGAGAACATAATTTTAACATGTACATTGCGCAACATAAAAAAAAAGATATCACCTTGAATAACTTTCGATCTAATTTTAATATTTTCACGATCTGAGAGAATGATTAAATGGGGAAGTTGAGATATTCAACAGTTAATTTTACTTTTTACGTAATTGAACATTTTACTGCAGAAACGGGCTAATCAAACTAATTTTTGCTCACGATTATAAATTACATTTATTTGTGCAATTTAATTTAATAAATCTCGAAGGAAACTATTTAGTTATAATGTAAAAACTTCAAACTTCAAATTGTAATGTGTAAAATTTTTTGAATAGCATTAATGCAGTTATAAATCACAAAATTTAAACAAAATCTCAAGAAATGAAATCTTAAAATAAATAAATAACCTGGAAAATAGGGGGAAAAAACCTGAAAACGTTACTGCTTATGAACTAATTAAGTGCGAAATTATTATTAGGTAACAGCAAGCAGGAGATAAAAGAAACTCTTCTAAAATTAATAAAAACACAACTGTAAAACCAGAAATCAATTTCGAAAAAAAAAATCGAATCCCCTCTTGTGAAAAAAAAAACTTGAAACGTTACTGTTTATGAAATACTGAAGTGTGAAATTAGTATTAGGGACTAGCGAGTAACAGTAAACAGGAGATTAAAGAAACTCTTCTGAAATTAATAAAAAAAGACAACTGTAAAACCAGAAATCAATTTCGAAATAGAAATCATCGACTCCCCTCTTGTAAAGGAAAAACAAAAAACCAAAAAAACACACTTTTTCTTCTAAATATACCTGTATTTTCTATTATACATTCTTTCGAATTCAAATGCAAAACTATTTTTAAAATGAAACACAAAACGATCAAAGACGGGAAAGCCGGATGTGATTTCCAAATTTTCTAATTCAAATGTTCTACGAAAAAAAAAATACAATTCTTTAAAAATTAACAATGTAATGTAATAAAAAGAAAAGCTGTGGAAACTTTATGATTAAAATAACCCTCATCTTCGTGTGTTTACAGCTAACAATGAAACAGGTTTTTGGTCATCCTGCGCATGCGCTTGTTTGATAGTATCGTTTTACCTCTAAGTTTTCTTCCATTATTAGTCTGTTCGTTTACTGTACGGGAGTTGCGTGAAATGTAGAAGTTTTCTGTTGTTGTTAACCGATTTCTTTCGTGCTTCACAATCATGAAACTGTTCAAATACAAACGCCGCTTTCGCGAATCAGTTTCTCCGCTGTTCTATGACAAACCTATTTAAATATCAAACGATAAAAATTTTGGTATTTTTATCGTCTGGCTAGGAATTATTTAGTCTTCGGAACCAAATTTCTTCAAGTTTAATGAGAAAAGTGTTATCGAATGTTTTAAGTTATTGAGTTTGAAAGCTTATTGAATTTTTCAATTTATTCAGTAAATTAGAACAGTGTTTATTGAGTAAAGTGAAATTGAATTCTATATTTTATTGAGTAAAGTGAAACCGATTTCTGTAGTATTGAAACAACCAATATAGTGTGAGAGATTTTATCGTCCTCTAACGTTTAAAAGAACAGTTAGATTTGGTGATGTTATATAGAGTGAATCAGCACACTTTAAAAATAAATTTTTATATCAAGCTTTGGATTATTTTTATGGCTTCTTTTTTTAATGTGTTGTAAAACCTCAGCAAACGAACTACTTCATCGCTATGCCCCCTTGTCAGAAAACGATTCCGAATAAAGTGGAGTCGAGCAAGGTGCTGCTGAGCAGGGGACTCGCCCTTGTTCTAAAAAGAGTTCCGCCAAGTTCTAAGAAATTGAATCGTAAGCAGCGGAACAGAAAGAAAGAGCAACCGTGTAAAGAGTGTGAAGAAATCGCCGAGTGTGATTTTGGTCCTGAAGTGTTTTTAGATTGGATTCGAGAGAACGAAGAATGTTATTGGAACCCATGCTTAGTTCAGAGCGTTAAAAGTTTGGAATACAAAGGTTTTGTTCGACCGGCTACTTTGCTGGTGGGAGGAACGGATTACTCATTGGAGGTTGTTCGATCCGCCTGGAGCAGACGGATGCTTCGGCCACCCCATGGATACGACATACTCATGTTAGGTAAGTGATAAACACGATTGCACTATTTGCTGATTCTGAATATTATTGTAAAAATACAAAATTGGAGCGTAATCGGTCAAATAGTTTTTGAGTAAACAAGTTTTAAGAAAAATGTGTATACTTGAAATTTGATTTCTCGTTTGCTATTTGATCGACTTCGTTCAAATTTTATATTTTTTAAAGTTAAGTAAAAAATTATTTACAGTACAATTCACAATGTTTTCGATTATTATTAAATAAAAGAATAAATATATATGAAAAATTATATTTAGCATGGAATTATATTTGAACATGCGAATTTATTGCTTATTCAGAGAAAGTGCGGTTTTGTGTCTGATTTCGTAACTTAAAATATCGTTTACGCTAATTAATTAGCAGGTTCCAAGTGTTAGACCAGGCCCTTGAACCACTAAGATTGTGACCTGGTGCATGAAATCTATACATTTGGTCAAAATTTATTGCCATGTTCCGTTTTATATTCTACCCATTGTGCGGTCTAATTTTAGTCTTTTTTTTTTTTTTATTAAGATATGAAGTTTTTTTCAATCGTCGTAATGAATACTAGCAAGTTATTTAAGAAAAAAAAATTGTCTTTAACATTGAAAATTTTTAAGTCATTAAATTTCAAATACTGTTTATATTTTTGAAAAAAAAAAGAATATTTTGTGTAAAAAAAAAAGTAACTTCTGGTTGTATTTGTACATTAAATGGATTTTTAAAAAAATTAGGATCTTATATGTTCCCAGCTCTTTTTCTGCTAGACCACCTAATTTTTTACAAAAACAAATGAGGAAATACTAAGCATAATAAATAATGTTAAAAAAAAACATAAAGTAAAATAAATAGTACAAAAATAATAAATAATGTACACAATTTTCGTAAAAAAGATTTGTAAATATTTTTTAAGTTGAATTTAATTTTTTTTAAAAATAAATAGATAAATTATAGCTTTAAAAATAGAAAATGCAATGGTATCTATTTCAGTGACAAAAAGTATTTTTTGGATTTTTTGAGTTCTCTTATTTTTCAAAAATTCTTCTTCTTATTATTATTATTGAATTTCAGTAAATAAAAATATTTTTTCAACACAAAGAAGTTATAATTTGTCCTAACCCTAGACAGCTTTGAGGTTTAATCGACTTAAAAGGTTGCTTCTTTTTATATTATTTTGATTACCTGATTATTTTTAGTTTCCCTTTATTTTTAATAAACAAATTAATTGTAATAACTAAAGGGAATTTTTTTTTATTAAAATACATATAATTGACAAAATTTAATGTTTTAAAAAGTTGGAAATAATAAAATGGTATAGTAACATCCCGACTATTTAGTTTGGCAACAATTAGTTTCTAACCTTCAACGTGTGAATTTTTTTTTTTTTTACTTCGAAAATATTATTCATATTCTTTATAAATATTGACAATTCTCAATCATAGAATTTTTAACTCAAATTGATCTTTCTCTTTTTAAAATAAAAATAAAGTTATTAATTATTAGCAAAAAAACTGAATTCATTTTTCCTAAAGTGAAACTTTAAATGCACGACATTTTGAAATTAAATAACTTTACGACCGATTTTGTTAAGAATATCTTTTGTGTTCCTTTCATTTAAAATTACAGTCTTTAAAATGTATTAAGCTTTAACGCATATGTATCTAACAGTTCAAAATTTTACGACTATTATTAAAGAAAATAATAAAAATGACTGGAGTAATTTCATTAAAAATAATATTTTGCTACGAATATTCGTTGTCTGTACAAATTTAATATTTGTGGGCAAAAAATTTTTAGATTCGTTTAAAAAGTTTTTTTAAGCAGGTTTACATATTATATCGCGAAATTCAAATTTCCAGCTTTCCCCTAATTGGATACTGATCATGGATTATAGTTCCCTTGCCATCAGACTAACCGTCGGAGGTTTTCGTGGTTTTCCTCTCCATGTAACTCAAATGCGGGTTAGTTTCATCAAAAAAGTCCTCCACGAAGGCAAATTTCCCCCACTACTTGATTCGGGAGTTCCCTTGTCTTCTGGATTGTGTTCAAAAATACAAGCCTACGGAGTTGAACATAAGTAGTCGTATACCCAAAAATTAGGTCGGTTGTTCAACGACGGTTATAAAATTATACAATAAAATAATTTGGTCCTTTCACTCCGAGAGGAAGATCACAGACGATATCCACACACGTGATCTATGACGTCAGTGCCAGCTGATCGTTAATAAGCATAATGGCGTGTTAAAGTTGAGCTAAGTTTCTTCACTTAAGTAAGAATATTAATTAATGTGAAGTTAATTAAATAAGCGCCGTATTGTGCATCGAATTCGTTGAAATATAATTCTTTCTCAGATACATAATTTGTTTAGGTATTTTATGGTATCCGTGATAAATTTTTGTTTTGTGTACCTGGCAACTTCGATACAGAATTGGTTTGTTTATGTTCTACGTTCTTCGTGCCAGCCTTTGTCATAAGTAAGAAATATATAGTGAAAGAATTGAAATCTTTATGAGAGAATCTTCATCAAAGATTATAGAATGTATCACTTTACGAGAATTGATACTTGACGGGCTTGGCTTACTCCTGTCAGAATGGAAAAAAACAGTTGCTAACGCAAGCAAATGCCATGTTTCAACAACCAATCAGGATCGATATGCATACACTACTTCACTTACAGGTATCCTATTTTCATAACAAAATGTTTAGGAATTGTCCTGTATGCAGGCAAAAATATAAGAAAATTTAAAAACATGCATCATTTTACTTTATTTGATCTTTAAAATGGTCGAGTTTCCATGTTTATCGAGATCTAGTTTATTTTCCAACAGTACGAAACCACCCTTTTTGAAACAATTATTAATCTACTTAAAAATTGTTGCCTGACTCGCATTAAAATGACAAAGTGTGCACAGATTTTTTTTTTTTTAAATTTAAGAATAGGTACTAACCATTTCACCGACTAAAGTAAATTCAGCTAATTTATTTATCTATTTATTCATTATTTATTTATTTGTTTAACAAATAAAAAAAATCAACAGCAAAATAATGTAATAAATAAACAAACAGTTGAATTTATCGTTTTGTTTTATTATTGCACCGGGGAAATGAGTAAGCACCCAAAAATATGCTTATAATTTGCCTTTTATTAAAATAGCTCCTTGTTACACTTCGAAATTATTTAGTAATTATTAATCTATGTAAACAACTTAATTGATTATTGTTCCCATAAGCAAAAAGGAAAAAAAAAAGCAGTTGAACTCTCCGATTTTAGAAAAAACCACCCTTTCTTTTCATATTGTTTATTAATTGTTATTATATCATAATGATACTTAAACGTTATCGTTTTCAGATTTATTCCTTTAATTATAATTGGTTCTTCCAAAGCTCTCTAAGAGGTCCGCTGTTTTCTTTCAATAATTCTATCGAAGTGTGTTTATATCCTAATGTATTTTGTATGAGTACACCTTTCCTGTATTTTGGAGAGACTTCCAAAATGTAGCTGACCTCAATAATATTTATTGCTCAACATAAAATTGTTTTTAACATGATTGGATAAACATCTTAACTTTTATGTCAACATTAACTAAAGTTACCTAACCTCAATTCCTATTATCGTAAATATAAAATAGGAGATTCCACTTCCTGGTACAAAATATACAGATGAGTCGGGTAACTTTTGAACCGTGGGTCGGATTTTCCGTCTCATTTGGTAATATCTCAAAGAAATATCTTGAAATGTGTATATCAGATAACTGTAACATGCGTATTATGGCTAAAAAGCAAACTTTTTCTGGTGAAACATAACTTCCTCCCCCCCATCGAATTCAGATTTAATAACAGAAGTGAAGGGCGGCAGACTAAGTCATAAACTCTAATAGGTTAACCGCTATAACGGTTCAAAATTTTGTCACTCTAATGTTATTTTAATGTGACATTTTTCTCTTCGCGTCTTTTTAATGATTGGTGAAACTGCAATTATTCTTTCCAGGGGTCTGTTTAAAAGAAATTCGGACCCTTCACAAAATATCTTTTCATAAAAACGGACCATTCACAAAATAAATTATCTTTTAATCGGACCCTTCACATATTTGTTTTTAATCGAATAAACTCTTCCCGGGGGAAGAAAAAAAAAGAAGAAAGAAGTTATCCAAGTTTCTCTAAGTTTAAATTCCAAATGTAGTAGTATTGTAAGAAATTATTTCTTCTTTTACAAACATCGTGTGCGCATTTTTATTGATATTAAATGACATTTCTTTTTTTTTTTTTTAAATAAATGATTGATCAATTTATATTTTATTCATAAAATTAAATTATATTCATAAAATTAATTAATAGAATATTATGTAAATAAAAATTAATTTGTGGCAATTTTTTAAATAAAATATTATAAATTTCAGAATTGTTTAAGTTTACTCAATGCGTAACACATTAAAAGTGATACAGTACTAAGTTGTGCTAAAATACGCCAATTGAAATTATTAAAAATGTGAGTCATTTTGTTCCATTATTCGTCAAAAATGAATATTCTGCATTGAGAAGTATAGGCTAAATACCAAATATTTGTATGTTGCATCTCTAATTTAGAAGCAGCGATTTGTTGAGCATAATCTTGTATCTATTTACAATTTAAAAAGCAATTTTTGCAATAACAGGACCCTATTTGCACAAATTCACAGAAGCAGGACCCTGGTTGAAAGAATGTGATTTAACGATTATTTTAAATTCGCAAATTATGAGTAGTTTTTTTTTCTTCACAATTTTACAAAAACAGGACCCTTCGCAAAATGTCTGGACAGACAAAAGCTTTCACAAAAAGTTGTTATCGCAAATTTAAATCTGTAATGCAATGGAGTATTCGGATGAATTAAATGATTTTTTTATAAATTAATTTGTGAATGGTAAGAAAATTGTAAGGTATAGAAATTTTCGATAAATTCCGAACTTTCAGATTTTTTTAAAACGAAATCTAGAAGATTTGATGATTAAAAAATTACCTAAAAGTAAA